ATATATCACTAAATGAGTACAGAAAATACAAAAACTAATACTAATAAGAAATATGATTGAAATATATTTTATTTAACACATTCGACCCGATGTAGCCCACCGATGGGCTACGCTATAGTTTAACGAGAAACTATATAGAAAAGCATTTTCTTTTGCTTTCTTCTTAAGTAGGAGGCTAAATATAAGGAGTCAACTGTGCTGCCTTTAGTACTTTATTTGAGTTCTTTACTCCATAGCATCATGCTTATCATTAAAACACTCAAGACAAAAAAATTTATTACAGTCAGAACAGAAAGTTTTTACTTTCTTTGCTGCCGCACGGCTGGCTTCTCTTGACTGTTGGGCTCGTTCCTTCGCATAGCAGCCAGTGCATCGTCTGCCGACATTGCGCGTAGATGCTTCTTTTTCTTCGAGCTTGTGATCAGCGAGTTTGCGCTTCGAATGACTTGCTGATTGTTGTCTTGGACCAGGTTTTAGCTTCTCGGTTGGCGTACCAAGCAGTAAAGACCGGACAAGACTTTCACGAAACTGCAGAATGGTCACTTTGTTTTCGGTGTAGTTTTCCTTATATATCAAATAGCTGTTTACCAGTGCCGTCCCGAAAACCAATTCAAATGCCACTTTGCGGTACCATTTTATTGATTTTCTGAGACATGTGTAATATGTTGATAGTTGACCAGATAAATCAGTACCTTGTCTGCCTTCATTGTAATCTAATTCAACTTGGGGCTTCATGATCCGTTCATTTTGAAAATTTGTTTTTCCACTGTCTACTACACTTGCTGAATGTGAGGTCTTGTAGATACCATCAAGACATCATTTTTGTCTTTCCACCTGATTAATTTAATTCCATCTTTATTCTGAAGTCCATAAGCTTCTCCACGACTAACATTTTCTTGAAGAACTTTACTTCCTGATCCAACACGATTACTGCAAAGAAATTGTCAGCTATTACGGTTCGATAACATCCATCAAGACCATCTAATAGTTTCATTACTATTATTTGAGCATGCCCAATACCTGCCGTCAAATCTTGCTCACCAGTATAAATTACAAAACTACAAACATATCCATTGGTCGTCGCTAATTTGTACATCTTTACGCCGTACTTGTGCGCTTTTCCAGGTATGTATTGTTTGAATAAAAGTCTGCCTCGCCATGGTATCATACTTTCGTCAATACTAATAATTGAATCAGGCATATATACTAATGAAAATCTCTCTTTTAGTAAATCTAAGAGTGGCTTCAACTTGAACAGTCTATCTTGGTTCGAATTCTTGTTATTGTTATTCGAAAAATGCCAAGATTTGAGGAGTAATTCAAATCTCTCTCTTGACATAGTATTTCGAATAATCTGTGAACCATATAATTGACTAGAGCTCCAATAATACTTCAGCTTCGGCATTTGTACTAATCCCATTTCAATGAGTATTCCAAAGAACTTGAGCATCTCTGTATTATTGGTTGGTTTCCATTGTTTAAATATTGATCTTCTACTGATGTCATGGTTTTGCAAGTATTGCTGCGCGTATCGATTAGTTTCACGAACTATAAGGTCAATAATTTCGCCCGTAATGAAATGCCGATAGCAGTCGATAGGATTGATTGTGTTATCTTCTGAAATAGAAGTTACATCTTCAATAAGTCCATGATCTTCCAAGAATTCTGCATCAGATTCTGGTTCTATTTCATTCCAAGTATGTAAATCCATATCATCATCATCATCATCGTCATAATCAGTAACTTCTTCAGATCTGTCAAAATCAAGGTGCATTGTATCAAATTCATCATCCAGTGAACTCACTTCACTGAATGAGCTAGCACTATCTTCAGTATCGATTTCTTCAAGAGACATGTGAAATGCTCCAAAAATTCGGTTGCATTTATATGCAAAACGATATAGAGAAAAGAATAGGGGAGAAAATACTGGAAATTTCCTTCTTTTCCTCAGACATGATTCATATAAAATACAAAAGAACGAAAAACTGACTTGAGCGATTATTCATTTGGTCAGTAAAAAATGACTCACTGTGTAGTGGTATAAGCAAGAGAATGACAAATAACCAGTAGAATATAGCCAAAAGGTCATTAAGTGCATTTATTAGAAGATAATTGGTCACGAAAATGAACAATCTGAAAAAAATTTTACGAAAACTGAATCGGGTCGAAGGTGTTAAATTTGGGTGTGGGTGGATGGGTGTGGGTTTTTATCAAAGGAAGAAGTAAACCCACAGCCACACCCACACACTCAAGAGAGCTTGACCAGAGTTATAGTTCAGAAGAGAATGCCCTTGAATTCAGTTTTTCACTCTTACGGTCGTCCTTGTTTTCATATCTCTAACAGATCTTGAGCATTTTTTCAACCGTCAATTGGATTGATGCCATCCATTAATAAATTGTACAGAACACCAAGGAGTAGAGCAAAGATTTATGCACGATCGTTGAGATGAATCTGAGAAGACTCACTGCAAGCAAAGTAGATTGATTGGTTGCTTCGCAAAATCTGTTGAGTGAATCAACCAAGAAATATAATCCTGTGTGGAGAAAGACATTCATTAATTTGATCTGATACAAGATTTAAGAAAAAAACTGTTGCCTTAATCTCTGCGTAAATGAGAAAATGTTCCAAAGTGTCTGAGATTTCGGAGGCAGGGGAACTATGTTACGCTGTCCATCACGCTCCGCTGCGGCGCGTTGCTAAAATGTGTGTGTGATGCTCTGTGGCGGGGGGGATTTTTGTATATAGATATTCGAGACTTCGTCTTTTTGTAATAATGAAGATAAAAGCAGTACTCCTTGTTTCGAGTATCTTTTTATTGATCAAATAGAAGGGAGACTTCGGGAATAATACAGTGATCTAATAGGCAGTAACTCAATGAGAGTTGAAAATCAACTACGATTCTTAAAATAAATGGAGGCAAAATACTTATATATTACACTTTCATCATTCAGAATAGAGTAACTTCTTCAAATAATTTACGTATGTAAACATTGTAATTCTATCAAAATTACTTAATATAATATATATATAACGACAAATGAACAGTGCCAATGATTGCCCTATTCGACAGGATGTTTATTCAAACTACATAACCTCATCACAGTTGTCTATTCTTCTGTGATACTTGGTGAATAGGTCACATAGACACGGAAAAGAGAACATACATGAAGAGAAGCATAACGATCAATGATCGTTACATTATGAATATTCTTCTATTGTCTTTCATCTGCATAACATTATCTTGCATAGCAACAATGAAAATCATACGATTGACTTCGAGTTGTTGTTGTTGTTTGTTTGCTGCTCCATAACCTTGTTTATATAAAAAGAGTTTGAAGAAAATTCCTTATAAATAAATCTTAATTATAACTTGTGCTCTCTACATTTCGTCTACATGTTTTATTGTATTTGTCTGATACAATAGAGGTTTTTTTTTTGTATTTCTTTTCATTTTTCTATACTTTTGTTTATAATCGAACGACTTGATAGATCCTTACCTTTCTTTTTGTTTCTAATATATGTTTAAGATTATGTTTTCAAAGATAATTCGATAATTCTTCAGATCAAATTCACCTTCACTTGATTTGTCGTACAGATTAGAGTAAAGGAAAAGAAAACTTATTGGTTTACCTGTTTCAGTCAATAAGAATAGGAAAAGGAAAGGTGGCGTACACTTCTCAAATTGTGAACAATATCATGGACAAAATTCACGTGAAAAACTTGTCAATTCATACCCATAACGAAACTTACATAAGAATGTAATAATAACAAAAAAGAATTAGAAGAATAGTTTTAAAATATTCATACACTAAGTAAATATTTTTTATGTATCTATCTGTTAGCTAACTTTTCTTTTTCTTATACATCGAGCATGAATATATGCGTAAGACAATGTATTTTTGATCGTATGACCCATAATAATCTTTAAAATGGAAGCAGTTGACTCGAATTCTGTTTCTTATTCTTCGGGATGGTAATTATCTAAAAATTGCTTGTTATATCATCTAGATGCGACAAGTCAAATGATGACATGTTGATATTTCATGTAAGCGTGCTTTATTTATGGAAAAAGTTTTAATTAGTAATTATAACAAAATTGGTTCGAAATAAACTTCACGATTATAGCTACGGTCAAAACATTTACAACTTTGGCCGATTTTGTTCATTAGAGATATAGGTGAGTGTAGAACAAAAACACATATCAATCCAAATTCTAAAGTTGAAAGTCCTCAAATTTGGTATTAAAGTAATTAAAATCATTATTTGAAGTTAGTGACTGTAATTCGATTTAGATTTGCATGCGATGAAACTATGATACCACGTGGAATTATATGAGTGCTTGGACTTGGACCAGCTGATGACGATCGTTTTATTCGACGAACAGAAACACTCGATAGAGCTTGTCGAGTTCTTTTGTTTTCTTTTGAATTATTAAAATCACTGCGTTGGATTTCGTTCGATTGTGTTCTATTGTCAATAATTGATGTTGATGAATGCGGTTCGATCGATGATTTAGTAAGTCGAGGAAGTTTCATAAAAGTAAAATGATTCTTTTTTGCTGATGTTGGTGCAGAAGAAGACGAAAAAGTTATTAAATCAGAAGAATCTTGTAAAGCAGATCGAATATGCACAAAATTATTATTTGATGTCTTTGTTATATTATCTTGTCGATCGATTCCTTGTGCATATGCAGATGAATTTGAGTAATGTAGAGAATCGATAGATTTTCCAGATAATTGCTTGCTTCTTACATTGTCTTTATTGTCAATAGGTGTATTATCTCTTTGATTAATTCTAGTAACAGTAACATCGCTTGATATTGGTGGATAATTGACGACTGTGACACTGCTACCTTGTCTTAGTTCATTTTTTTCATGTTGATTTTTTCCGCTGAAAAGTTGTCGATGAGAATTTCCATTTGTTGGACTCCGTACAAAGCAGTATTCCAAGTCATCGCTTGTTTTTCGACGTTGTCGACGACGTTTACAACCACTAATGAAACGAACAACAGATAATATATATTTAGAATAGAATATTTCTCTTACAATAAAAACCACCAACAACAAATCGAACAACATACAGCCAAAGCTAATCCTAGCAATGATAGGCCAATAATTAATGGTAAATTAATTGTATTGTTCGGTTTAACTGAATGAAATACAAAAAAATAAAAATAGTTAGTTAAATCGTCTCAACAATCCTACCAGTTGATGATGATACAGATGAATTTATTAGCATACTAATTTAAATCAGTTTAAATGAAAATAAAAATAAATTAAACTTTCCATTATAACGAAAGTGTCTAACCTTGTTTCTACATTCGCTGATGATGTGATATTCATCGTTGTAATAGCTTCTGTTGAATTTTGTAAGTTCTGCTGTGATGTCTCATCCCTAGAACAACGAATAATTATATGTATCGTTGTTCGATGAGTTATCTGTGATATGATCGCATTAATTTCTCCCTCAATCTTTGAAGTCAATGAAATGATAGTTTCTACTGTCAAGAAATATTACTATTGCAAAAAGAAGTTATGAAAGAAAAATGTGAGAATATTGCATTCATGAACATTGACTGACATTAAAGTGGTTGATGTTTGCGTCGTTGTTATCGTTGTTGTTGTTGTTGTTGTTGTTGTTGTTGTTGTTGTTGTTGTTGTTGTTGATCTATAAAAGAAAAATAAAACATATCAAGTCATTTTTATCATTAATTAGATAAAGAATCTTACGCAGTAGTCACTCCTGGACATAATGGAATACTTGTGAGACCAACAAAAAATGTTATACAGTACTGATCTGATTGAACACTTGCACTCAAAATATCAAAGACAAATATAATTCGATTAATTATTAAGTAACCATAGATACACAAATAACTTACTTATCACTTGCAATAGCACAAAAGACTTGTGAACCAACTTGACTAGCCGTGGGAATCCATGACATATTCATTGACCATAATGATGCATTGGCAGTATTCTGAACAAGTGTACTCTTGATAATAATAGGAAAAGATAAAGTAGCGATGTCAATGATTGTTCGTTCACTACCACAACGATTTACAGCTGTAAATGTCATTGTAAAATTGACACCGACTTGTACACCTTGGCAAACACCACTATTGATATCAGCTAATAAAAGAGGTTTAAGTGTACACGTTGTCGTTGCATAAACATAAATCAAAAATTGAAGTGAAACAGAACTCAATGGAGTCGCACTGGTATTCGTTATAAAATCTTCGACCTGTAACAAGATATGGAATTAAATGAAACAATAGAGAGGAAGAGAGAGAGCTATGCAAAATAATAATTCACCTGTATGGCAACAAGATAATAATCGCCGGCAGTGATTCCAGTGATCGTGAGAGCGCAAGACGTAGATAAAGTTGTACCCGTTGGCAATGATCCTGGCGGACAAGCATAGGCACATTCTGATGTTCCATTTGCAAATCGACATCGAAGATAATCATTATCTGCATCAAGAACTGGGATTTGAATTGTTTGTTGAACATTAACAGGTATACTTAGATATGAAATACATGTAGCTACAGGTGGTGTATTAATTAGTCCATTGTCCGATCTTAGACGTATGTCAATTAAAGATGAAAGACTCCAACCAGCTGAATTTCCTAATGCTAATGTTTGCCATCCTCCACTAGTAGCAAAAGTCGCAACGAAATAAGCTCCACTAGTAAGATTGACTATATCGGATCGCTGACTCACTGTTAAGTCAAGCGCAGTAGAAAAATCAGTACAATAGCCAGTAATAGGTACTTCATTACCAACATAGCCACCTGATGTTGAACAATTAGCACTACATGTTAAATTGACTCCAGCACCTGCTTTCGTTCCTATATTAATAGGCGGTGATTGATCAGCAATCATACTATTATTGCATGTAATTACGGAGCCTGTCCAACTGTATGTTTGAGTAATAACAATCGAAACTGTACTACCGGCTGTGATGTTATTACTAATCGGTTTCCAAGTAATTGTACCACCACGAAAATGAGACGCTTCAATTGTGGATCCAAACAGTAACAATAATCGTAGAATATAAATGAGATACATTAAAAAGGAATCTATTCAACATAATGACATTTTACTATATTTTAGATTTCTTTTTACTTACAATAGTTTGTTACTGTCAAGATACTAGATCAATTCTATATTCTAAAATTCAGTTATATCTGCTTGGTACAATATTAACTTTATATCGTGGTTGAAATGACTTTTGTTTTATAAAAGTGCAGTTTTCTTCTTTTTTTTTTTATATTGATTTTTTTTGTTATTTCATATAGGTTGATTGCAGAGGCCATATGAAAAAACTTCGATTCTTTTCAGGCAGTGAAAATAAGTAGAAAAAAAAAATTCAATTAAAAATATGACATGTGCCTGATGAACTTATACATTATCTGTTCTTTATAAATTGGCATAGAGATCAGTTAAAATTCAAGTTATTCAAATAAGAAAGGAGGAAGTGGCGCATGAGGATTCTAATATGACACCTCCCCCTATTGGTGTGAACAACACAAACTATACACGCAAATAAAGTGAGTGTTGAAACTAGAGTCTAACATATTAATAAAAACATACATGTGATGATGAATAATTTGACTATGGCAGTCATCACTAGTGAGAAAGAAAAAACATATTTCAAGTATCAAGAAATCGTACAATTTTTTTTTTCAATTATTTTATTCAAACACTGATTATCTTTATTTCAAAACATACCTGTTATCTTGAATTGTCTTTTATCATTCGAAATATTAAAAATTAAATTGTTCCTAAATTCAAAACTTCCGAAGCTTGGGTATTAGAATAATGAATAACTATTTTCTCATAGGCAACAAGAATATACATCTGCAAACTAAATACATTTTATTCACACTTATGTTTATTATTATTTTCAGCTAAACACTATAAAATATGCATCAAAAGTCTCGCACTATTTTTTATTTTCAATCGAATCGAACGATCCATTTTAAATATTTTGCGAAAATAACTGTAACTTGACCAATGATGTATATTCTTAAGTTTTCATATGATTAACTAATAATTGACTGTTAATATTATACGTTATTTGTATGGTATAATTACGTAATCTTTTTTTTAATGATAAGTTCTTCGCTGTGCATTCCTAAAGTAATCAATAAAGATTCTTGTCTTATTAAATTTTGTTCATGAGTTATGTCAATGGTAGAATTAGCTAAAATTGTCAAATATATAGTTTAACTGTTCCTAAAGATGGATAATTATTTTTTCTCTTGACATTTAATATTCAAAAAAAGTTAGAAATCAATATCTAAGTACTTTCGCATATAAAACACGAGAAATGACAAATCGAGCTTTATTTTCACGATCAAATAAAGATTTTACTCATGTATATGATCAAAATTAGTGACTGCAACGATCAACAAATTGTTAAATTATATTAATTCTTTCATGGCGAACACTATATTTTAAAGCTAACAGGTGACTCAAAACAAATGGCCGCACTTTGCATTACATATTTTAACTTCTAAATATGTTTTATTTAAAAAATAAACTGCATATATCATAAGATGCAACGTGAAAAACTCTACAGTCTACATTGTACAGCTTATTTCAATTGTGTACTTTTTGTTTTCTAATAAAACATATTTAGAGATTAAAATATGAAATGCAAAGTGTGGTCATTTATTCTGAGTCATCTGTTACTTTCTATGAAAATCAAATCGTCGTGAAAGAGTTAAAGATAAAATTCTTCATTTTTTTTTTTTTTTGATAAAAAAATCTTATGAAGAAATAATATTATTATTGATCAAATACTACAAGAAAGTAAAAAATAAAATATTTTTTGTACACAATACGCATGAATTAGCATTATTAGTTTCAAACTCCAATGTCAACAGAATCCATATCTTCGTGTTGGAAATTGATTTGTCGAGTTCGCTCTATAAGGACGAATAAGACCATCACCAACGACAGTTTTCATTTGAGTTATATATTGAGAAGAAAGAAATGAAGATCCATTATTGATAAACATTCGAAGAAAAATATATAAAGAATAACGGCTGACATTTGTAAAAGACCAGCTGGATAACTACTAAAATCGAAAAAGGGTAAATATAACTATGTCGAAAGATTACTCTGAAAAGAAAATTATTCATAATAAAACAAAAAGCCATGGTATCAAAACATTCACCTTCATTTGTATGATATTCAATTGAAATATTTCTTGATTTCATTGTTCAAAAGAAGATTCATTGATAGCATATGCATAATGTTTAACAAATTTGTCTATATTTGAAAAATCAGCTAAACGAATACCAGTTTTATGTATATCAATATTTAATGATTTGAAAATTTTTTCTCTAACATATTGATCATAGGACATATTGATGATTCATTTAATAACTCTAGTGCAGCCAATGATGTACCTTCATTTGAATAAAGTGTTACATTCCTGGTGATCTCGATAACCAATTTGATGTATTTGGATGAAAGATTTTTCAATTGTGTTCTATATCAAGATTAACAAGATTTTTTTTCGACTAATTCTATACTAATGAAAACTTTATGTTTTGATTCTAATAAGAATCTATTTTATATAGAATTGAAGATAAAAAGTTCTAATAACGTCTATTTGTTATTATGAGGATTTAAAATTGTGTTGATAGTCAAAAGAAGAAGGATAAATATATAAATTAAATTTTGATAAATGATACTTGAGACAAAAATTATGAGGTGTTGATCGAATATGTCAATCGTCACTCAACTTCAAATAAACAACTCAATGATTCATTGCTATTTATATAATTCTATGAATATCTAAAAGTTTATTTGTTTTCATATTATTGTTTGAGAGAAGTATTCAAGCAAAATTACATTACATTTTATACATTGTTGAAGAACAAAACAAAAAATTCTCATGAAAAGAAAAAATGTTAACATAGATATGATAATGTTTAATCCTCTTTACTGAAAATTTTTGTTGATAAACAAAACAAACTGATCCATACATTATTAATCTAATGATTTTTATTCACTTAAAAAAACATCTTTTTCTTTCTACTTATTACATATATGATAATTTGATTGCAATCATCTTTTACCTGATTATATGGTTTATCTAGTCTGATTCTGTCCCGAAAAGGAACAAATAAATCGCATTTTTGAATGAAAATATGAGAAAATATATATGGATTTAGAACGATAAAGAAAATCGATAGATGTCATTTTAAATTGAATATTTCTCGTAAAAAAGGAATTAATGTCAAATAGTTGATGATTTATTTATTTTTGTTGTCATATTTCATTACTAATAATATATATTTCAGTGATATGGTTAATGTTTATATATATTCTATATCATAAAGAGAAGAACACATATCAAATATAATATTCTTCAATTGTAAATTTACTTGTACATCAAAAATAAAACAATGTTATTTGTTCGATCATTTTAATAACACAAAAAAAAAAAAAATATTTTTCTTCATGAATTTACTTAAGAATAATTTTCCTATGAAGAACTTTTATTTTTCTTTTAAAAACAAAAAATTTTTTTTCTCTGCCCGAGGACAGAATTGAACTGTCGACCCCTGGTTTACTAGACCAGTGCTCTAGCCACTGAGCCACACGGGCGCACTTTATATACATTATATTTTTAATGTCATTGTTTTCTTTGCACAACTACACGTTTCTTAAAAACATATCAACATAAATCATAATATAACAGATGTCTAAGTGTGCTATCATCATAGAATTAAAATAATATATAGATCAAAAAAATAGAGATTTATTATTATGGTAAATTGATGAAAACAAAAATACACACACAATTCAGATCATCAAATTCATTTAAAAATAAAAATAAACTAAAATAAAATCAGATCACACATTTTACTTCGTAGCATTAATAGCTTTATGAATAATAGAACAACATTCAAGTAATTCCTCTTTTGTTATATTCAATGGTGGTGCCAAACGTATTTTATCACCATGAGTTGGTTTTGCTAAAAGACCAAGATCACGTAAATGTAAACAAACTTCCCATGCATCATGTTCTATAGAAAGAAAAAAAAAAAAATAATAATAATATTCATATTAAATCACATACGTGGATCAATAATAATTGCATTAAGTAAACCTTTACCACGAATTATTTTAACTTTATCTTTTGGTAATCGATTTAATTCTTGACGTAATAATTCACCCATTCGAGCAGCATTTTCAATCATTCCTTCTTCTACCAAAACCTTAAAAAAAAAAATTTTAAATTTCTCAAAATTCTTTTTTTGTTTTGAATATTTACTTTAAGAGCAGTAATAGCAATACAAGCACCTAATGGATTTCCACCAAATGTTGAACCATGTGTACCGGGTGTAAATACATTCATAAGTTTATCATTCGCAAAAACAGCTGATACCTATAGATGAATAGAAAGAAAAAAAAAACATTATATTCATTCGATTTATTTAAATAAATTTACCGGATAGAAACCACCGGATAATGCTTTACCAAGAATAAGAATATCGGGTCGAACATTTTCATAATCACATGCTAATAATCTATAAATAAACTTAAATTAAATCAATTAATTATATTAAATATTCTTACTTTCCAGTTCGACCAAGACCAGTTTGAACTTCATCACCTATCCATAGAACATTATATTTTGTACAAATTTTTCGAATACCAGCTAGATAACCATCATCAGGTACAAATACACCTACGAAAAACACAAAAAAAAAAAAACAAAAATTTTCATATTCAATCATAATCAATTATTACTGACCAGCTTCACCTTGAATAGGTTCAACCATAAATGCACATACATGATTATCTTTACATGCTTCCTAGATGAAAAACTAATTAAAAATATTTTTCTTATTTTATTTAAAATATATTTACTTCTAATGCTTTTAAATCATTATATGGAATAAGTTTAAAATTAGGCATATATGGTCCATAACCTTCATAACATGATGGATCTGTTGAACTTGATACAGCGGCTAATGTACGACCCCAAAAATTATTTTCAGCAAAGAGTACAACAGCTTTATCCTTTGGTATACCTTTAACATAATATCCCCATTTACGTGCTAATTTAATAGCTGTTTCTCCACCTTCGACACCTATTTTCAAATAAGAAATTTTAATCTTTATTTATAAAATAAGATCGAATGAAATTTACCAGTATTCATTGGTAACATTTTATCATAACCAAAAAGTTTACAAGCATATTCTTCAAATTCACCAAGTACATCATTATAAAAAGCTCTAGACGTTAATGTTAATGTTTCAGCTTGTTGTTTTAGAGCAGCAAGAATTTTTGGATGACAATGTCCTTGATTAACAGCTGAATAAGCCGAAAGAAAATCAAAATAACGATTTCCATCGATATCCCACGCATATATACCTTTAAAAAAAATAAAGAAATCATTGATTTATTTTATATGATAATCTTTTTTTTTTGTCTGTTTGAAATATATACCTGATCCACGTTGAATAACTACAGGTAATGGATGATAATTTGCTGCTCCAAAACGTATTTCACGATCGATAATTGATTGAGTTTTAGGTGTTACAACTTTTGCTGTTGATTTAACTGATGATGAACTTGCTGAAGCTATACATCTATTGAGAATCGGTTTTGAAGTTAATAATAATTTACGATACATCTAGAACAATCAACTTAATAAAAATTTTCATATAAAAAATATCAATTAATATCTTGCTTTTCAATATATTCGAGAGCTTATTCATTCTAAGAAATTTCCGGAATCGGAAACGGAATTACGGCTTCGAGTACGATTCTGTTTAATAAAAATACAAATAAACAGTTCCAATTTTCAGTTTCTAGAAAATATCCTGGGAAACAATGATCTGGTAAGGCTATACCGAAGAACTAATATTTAGATTTTTTTTTTCGAGATTGTTTATGTCTACTTTTTATTGAAAACAAAACAAACAAACGATTTCTTTAAAACATGAAATAAAAAGACAAAGAATAAAATTTCATAATTGTTAAATTTTTTTTTTGTTATGAATTTGAATCAGTTCACAAATCGTTCATTTTACCACACTCGAAATATTACTGAACAAGACGCTTAAGAAAAATTTATGACAGTAAAAAATGTTTCTTTACTTTTTCTACAGGTACATGTCAATTAATTCTTTATTTCATTTTTGTATTAACATTCGAATACAATGTAATGTACCAATAGAAAATCTTCTCCTATCAAATATCATGCAAGGAGAGGAAGATCAAAATGACCTTGCCGTAGGAAAAATACAGAATTCAGTATATTTATATAGTTTAATGGTACCCAGTAGAGTTATTAGATAAGCGTCTTGCTATAAATATAAATAACAGGAACTTCGATTCTTATGACTTACTACGTAGTAGCAGATTATCGGAAAGTATAGGATAGATACGCTGAATTTAGCACATCCATTAGATTAGTTATTGGGGGTGTCTCAAGGTCGATCTGATTGAGCGTGTTTTAGGAAACCTATGAGTAGAAAAACAATAAAACGCTGGAAAACAAGGAAAATTTTTCAAGATTGAAGGTATGCCTTCTTTTGATATGATATCATATCGAAAGATGGGATATCTGCTTAAGAAACATCTCAATTCAGATTCCGAATAAGAGAAATTAACAAATTCAGATTCTTGTTTCATTCTCTCAATAATATTTTTGTTTTTCGGTTCATCTAGATCTAACATATTTTCTCACATGAACTCAGGTTAAAATAATGACTTTTGAAATTTTGTTCATTTATAAAAGACGAAAGTTATTTTCACAAAATTGATTTTTATAAACAACAAAACAAACAAAATTTGTTCTGAGAAAATAAACTCTAAAGTGTGAGGGAGTAGGTGTTTTTTTGTTTTCTTCTATTCCGATTTAACCTAATTATTTTCAATCCAATGATCATAGGTATATGAAGAGGTCACTATAAACAATGTTTAAAAGTTAACCAATCTTCAATTGAAGCAAACAATGGTTGTCATATTGTAATATACGGAATAAATGAATGAATAAATTTCTCGATAACGAAGAAAGACATAAAAACATCTAAATAAACAAAAGACAAATGGTTTCATTAGAAAAGAAATCGCCCGAAGAACGATTGAATATTTGTCGTAAATATTATTTAGGTGGTTTTGCTTTCTTACCACTTCTTTGGCTTATAAATGCTATTTGGTTTTATAAACAAGCATTTAAAGTTGAACCATATCCTCAACAAGCACAAATTCGAAAATGTAAATATCAAAAAAAAAAAATTTTTTTTTGTTTTTTGCTTTATCTTTAATTTAAATTCTGTGTAGATGTAATTCGAAGTGTAATTGGTACATTTATATGGTGTATTATTATTATTACATGGAATGTTATGTTTCAAGTATTTCGTACTAAAATGGGTCCTATTGGAGATTATTTAACATTTGTTGTACCACGAGGATATTATTAAATTTTTTTTTCTATTTGATTCTAAATTTTCTTTTATTCTTTTTTGTTGTTGTACTTCGTGAAATTTTTTGCAGATATAAAAATTAAACAACAAAAAAAAAGTTGATTCATGTGTTTGTCTTTTTTTTTTTAGATAATTATGGTGAGTGTATGATTAATTAAATTGAAATAAATTATTAATTATTATATTCAGAGTACAGCAGTTGTTATTGGACTTGGTTTAGCTGTTGTAGGATTTACAGGTTAAATAGATATGTTCTATAGTTGAGTTATTTTGAAATCTTTTTTTTGTTTAAGGTCGTTATCTTATGCGACATGGAAAAACATTAGCAGAAAGTTTGAATAAAACAAGTGGAGTTATTGCTGAAGGACTTTCAGTAAGAATATATACATTGATTATTTTGTTGTTTTATTGTGTTTTATATATTTTAGTCAAAATATTATAAAGGTGGATTTGGTAAGAATTAGAATATTAAAAAAAAAAAAAAATCATTTTTCATGATAAATAGATCCAAAAATAAATCGACGTGAAGCAGCACTTATATTAGGTGTTAGGTAAGATTTTGAATTACACATCTGGTATTTTTGAATTAAATTTCATTTTATTTCAAGTCCAACAGCAAGTAAAACACGTATACGTGATTCATATAAACGATTGATTATTCTCAATCATCCAGATCGAGGTAAATATTAATAATACGAATTGTTCTATATATTCTTTTATATTAGGTGGATCACCGTATATTGCTGCAAAGATTAATGAAGCAAAAGATTTTTTCGAAAGTAATGCCAAATGAAATTCGAACAAAATATATCCTGTTTTTTAGTAACCAGTCAAGTTTTTGTTTTGATTGAAAAGATCTTGTGTTTTGTTTTTGTATTTGATAAATTTTTTTTTTCTATGATTTATCACTACTGTTTGATTTAATTATCACTTGATATTGTGATAGTTTGAAATAGTTTTGTTTCGATACAAAGAATAATTATTTCTTTGGATAGATATTCATAGAAAATTTTCCTCATTTGTGTGGGAAGGGTCGTCATGATTGAATATCATTGCAAACTGCCGAATAGAAAACAACAAAAGCAAAATGTTCTTTATTTTTAATCAGATATAAGCGCAGATGGGTATGGACGAAAAGAAGAGCGAGATTCACGTCAAGGATAAAAACATTTTGGTGAAATTGCTATTGCGTGTTTCGCACATTTGTTTTTTTTCTGAATAGATATCAAAATAGTAACTGCGTTGTTCTACACGTAACTATTATCTGATCTAAAATAAAAAGTAGGTTATCATTTTTTTGAATAACTTTTGATGTACAGATCATCGATCGGTATAGAACTCATTGAGATGAAAGATGATTTTTCATAAGTACTTTTATGTCAATATATATTTTTTTCTCTAGAAAATTATCACGTATTTCATTATCTTTCAATCTTTTATTCTAAGTGAATTTAAAAACAGATATTAATTTTCTCAGGGAAAAAAAAATGATTTGAACTACATTTTGACATAATTTGAGTTGAGATTATTGTGAAAATATACTCAAAAGAAAATGTATTGATGCAAAAGTATCTATAAAAAATTATCTTTCAAATGGTAACCTACTTTTTATTTCGAATCGAATAATACAAGGTACTATGTTCAAATCTCACTACGATCAGCTATGGAATGATCCTGGACGATTTCAAGCAATTGAGCACAAGAACTCTACATCAGACTAGTAGATCTTTCGGTAAGCAGGGATATTTTTCCTCATTTCTTGCATGAATAGATCTGAGTGGGTCAAGTTGAAAAATTTGCAAAGAATTCAGAAATTGTGAAACGAAGAAAAAACCGATATATGTAGGATGAGCTTTTTTCATACTCTATGTTCTAAGTGGTGAGAGAACTTTATCAAACGAATTTTGGTCAAAAAGAATGTTGTCTTCTTGAGATATCAAATTCGTAGAAAAACCATTATATTCCATCAAAAGAACGGAAAATCTAGTTTTGTAGATTTGAGAGGTAGCGTATGGGAAAGAATCCTTTTATGTTTTTTCTAGTCTTCACACTTTCTACGTAATGGTCGGGATTTCCTTTTTCACTGTGAGGTATCACTTCGGGTGATTTTCTCGTGAGAGAAATTTTCTCACCTTGATCCTATCCTATAGGGTCGGGTAGTTCTGCACACATTTATCCATCAGCTATTTCTTATTATGTCTAATTGAGAGGCGGTGTTTTTTCATCTTTCAGTTTAATTAACTAGAATAAATAGTGAATACTTTGACTACTTTCATTATTATTGAAGTAGAAGACTTAAGTTTAAAAAAAAAGAAGAATAAGGTTTCATTTCATTATCATAAGTGTTATTAAAATACTTTTAATATTAAATATTATTTGAAAATGGTAAAACTATTGTATGAATTCCTGACGTAGTATATAGTAACTATTAGGATTTTAACAATAGTCGTCAGGAAAAAAAACATGACTTATTTGTTCCGGTTTGAAAAATCAACATTCATTCAAGCCTTAAAAAAAAAGAGTTCTTTCAAATAGTCGATAATAGAATAAATTTAAAACATGAAAAAAGTTTTTTTCTTATCTTGAATACTATAACTAAACGATTCGTTTATATATATATTTTTTTTTATTGAGTTTAATTAACTTGTCAATAAAAAAATAAAATGTTATCATACATATACTTCGTCCTTTTCAATGATTGGTGTTTGATTTATATATTTTATTAATTTGTCGTATCTAACTATCTATTATGAATAACACATAACACATTTCTATGTTTTTTCTTTTTTGCAATAGATGAATTGCATGCAAAATAAAATTACTATGTGTGTACTATCATCTGTTGTTGCTTTCCAGTTACTTGCTAAGAAAAAAAAAAGAAAAGAAAAGAAGAACGACACGCAATCAAAGGGACCTTCCCTCCTTGCTTTCATTCTCTATCGTTCTTTCTTCGTTTTTTTTTTTTTTTTTTATACTACCAACCAACTAAGCGATGCAAACTATGTGTGTTTTTTCCTCTTCTCCATTTCTTATTTCTCGTTCTTTTATAATGCCTACATTCTCGTCAGATGATCATCAAAAAAAGAAACAGCGTCTAAACATTTTATTCATAGCGATTCATATTTATGATGACGTGTCAATTTATTCTGATTTTTTTTTTTTTTTTTTTTTTTGTTGTGTTATATACAACAATTATTTAATACATACATATATATTTATTTATCTATTATGTAAATTTTTCTATATATTTTTAGATAGATTTTTCTTTTTTTTTGTTTTGTTTCGATTATGACGATGAAACGTACTCAACCAGATTGGTCATTCAAAATTTTACTTATTGGTGATAGTGGTGTTGGTAAAACATGTTTAATGTTTCGATTTGCTGGTATGTATGTTTGTTATTGTTAATGTTTCTTTTTAATCTTTATGTATAACAAAAAAATTTAAATCATATGTTTTTTGTGCGAGAAAAGGTTAAATTTTACGTCTTTTTTTTTTGTTAGTTCTATGCTAGCATGATGAAGTAGGTGAGTTATGTAACTAGAAGGATTTTGAAGCGGAAAAAAAGAATCAGAATTAATAGATATACTCAGTAAAGAAAAGAGAATTATTTGTCAAATTTTTATTGATAAACAAAAAAAAAGAAATATATATTTCTCTTTTTTTTTGTTCTCCGTCTAATAGACAATATGTTTGCCGAATCATTTACACCTACAATCGGAATTGATTTTAAAATCAAAACATTACGTGTACGTGATAAAACAGTTAAATTACAACTTTGGGATACAGCTGGTCAAGAAAAATTTTTTAATATTACTCGATCTTATTATGTAAGTTGATTTTAAATATTTACATTTTTTTTTTTTTTGAATATAATTAATGTATGTTTTTTTATTAAAGCGTAATGCTGATGCAATAATTCTTGTTTATGATCGTACAGATGCAAGTTCATTTCAAAGTATTGCTCGTTGGATGAGAAATATTGATGAAAATGCTCCTGATGATGTTGTTCGAATATTAGTTGGTAATAAAAGTGATCTTCATGATCGTTTGATTATTTCAACTCATGAAGGAAAATTATTAGCTGATAAATTTCGTGTAGATTTTTTTGAAACAAGTGCAAAATCAGATACAAGTCCAACTGTATCGAAAATGTTTTATTTTTTAACAGAAAAATTACTTGATCAAAAACAAGAAGCTGCATTACGTGAACAACAATCATCATCAACACATCAAACAGGAAATATTAGTTTAACAAATAATCAATCAGAATCTACATATGGAAAATTACTTGGTTGTTGTTCATCAACCAGGACTCTTGATGATTAAGATTTTCTTCTTTTTTTTTTTTTTTTTCTATTCATTTGTCTTGTATATATAAATATATATATATATATTATAAATGTTTATAGTCTAGTATTCTATTCTTCTTTAAAAGTCTAATGTATTGTCTTTTGAATATAATTTATTCAAATGAAATTTCCTATGTATTGTGAATGTCACATCAAATATGTTGATAGTAGACATAAATATGACATAATGATACTTTATTTTAGGTTATCGAGTAATTCTCAAAGATAAAAATGATTCATCCTAGTTGTAGAAAAACTTGAAAGTATATACAACACAATAGATATATATATATAGAATTTGATACATTCGAGCATTGTCACGAGAAGTTTACTAATCTTTTACGTTGAAAATAGAACAAAAAAATAAAAGAATAATACATTATCCTTTGTATATAAAAACCTCTATAATTCCATTGGTTCAATAATTATTAAATCTATTTTCTTGAATCTTAATAGATTTATTTTGTTATTTTGATGCAGATGCTTGTTTTTACTATTATGAATAATTTCGACTGAGAAATTAACAGGTGCTTATCTGTTGTCAACTGGAAGATATGTCATCTGCATCAAAATTAACAACGCTTATCAATATAAACTAACATCGAGAGATACTCTTGTGTAAATTTCATTTATCAAACTGAAATAATATATATATATATATATATATATTCTTTGCTATTTATTGTTTATAGAACTGAACAAAAGATTATTTTATTGACCTTGGCAACTAGAGATAAACCATAAACAACAGCCTTTTGATTCGGTCTCGAATTTCTATAGGATAAACTCTCAGACTTTTATAGAATAGCTCTTTCTTTCTCATCTAGAGATACAAAACTATTTGAATAACACAAACGGTTATGCTAAGAACTTGTCTGTTATTAATACTTGTTTTTTTATTAAATATTATACTCAACCAATCGATATTTAAATAGAATCACTGATGAAATATTACACAAGATGCTAACAATTCAATGGTGTAACAATAGACATTTAACATCTAATCTTCTATATGTCGACAATAGATTTCTAATGATCAATTTATAACTATTCTTAGTTATATTTGAAGATTCTTAAAAAAATACAAAACAAAAATGAAGTATTGTCACACAACTATTTATATAAACTTCTACGAAAACATAAAGAACTAAAGATTTTTTTTTTTTTAAGTACAAAACGATTTAGATTTATAAATAAATAAAGACTATAATTTATTTATTAAAAACATCAAATTATTATGTCTTTCTACTTCCTACATTCGATTTTTAAGATAAATCAATATTTATTTTGTTTTTTTATTCGGAAAAAAAAAACTTCCCACTTGTAACTACTTGTTCTTTCATCATTCATTTGACAAATACTAGTCAACAAAACTTTTTAAAAATCAAGTATGCGTTATTCTTTTTTTTTGGTTTGTGTACCTTTCGCGGAATCATAAAACATGGTGAATTTTATAATAGACCTCTTACTTCACAATTATTCTATGCTTTTTTCGTTGATGATTATTCTAGTTCTATGTTTCAATTATAATCCTTCGTGAATATTTTTTACATATTATAATTTTAAATTTAATATTTAATATTTTTTATGGAATTACAAATAGATGATATTCTGACTTAGTTTCAATGATAATGAATTTCATATCTGTATAATTATTTACTGATTACAAATTGGTGTATATGAGACTGCGGTAAGATTTAAATTATGATTAGTTTTTACTAAATCTCTGATTATTGATTTCTAACTTTTGAAGAGAAAAAACATTAGAAAACAGAAATCGAATAAAATAAAACATTACTTCGGCGATACTATAGTATTTTAACGATTACAGTGATAGTAATCAATTTTTTCATCCTAATGCCATACCCTTATCCTCATCTTCAGAATAATAAATTTCTGATTTTCTTATCATGTTCAGAATGATAGAATTCCATTTCAATTTCCTGAGAGCTTTTTCAATTTGTAGAAACTCCATCGCCTTTGCTCAGTACCTGCATTGTTCGACACATATCTACAAAGTATTATGTTCAAACTTCACCATGACTGTGAACTCTAGAGCATTCGAATAAGGTACATAATTATTTCAAAAACTAAGGATATAGAATTGAGAATATAGCTGAAAAACGCATTTACTAGATCAAACAAAAGCTCATTATTATCTTTCGTTGTGCAAGAAACAGTCTGTAATATTCATTTATTTATGAAAAACTAAGTTCACAATAATGCGCTATTTTGCCAAGGAAAAAAAGCGAAAACTCCACACTTCAAGGGTATATCAAAGCTATCTTCTAGAACTTTTCACTTGTTTCAAGTCTGCTATCAATGTATATTCGTGTAATACACATTGATAGTAGACTCTGTTTAGAAAGCAAGACAAAAATCTTCCATTAAAACAAATGTTAATTATTCAAATCAATTGGCATAAATTCTTTTATATGGTTGTATTTTTGTTTACTTCTCGTACATTTGATCATTTTTTGATATATAAAAATCTACACAATACATCATTCAATTTAATGAAATTTTCAATACAACAGCAACTGTATCTTAGTTATTATGGAATGTCGGCTTGGTATTCATGAGTGATTCATATGACTGAATACATCTTATGCAAATGTATTCAAGTAAGGAATTAAATAAACATTGATTGCCATCGGTATGCTTTAATAATTCTATTTCTCATATAATTGAGATTCCCTCTCTTCACTAATTGTCATAGAGCACCATGAATACAGCATAATGTGAGCATCATGTCGGTCGTGTGGAATTCCGTCACTTTTGTCCAATTTTCATCACAATCTCCACAATAAAAAAACGATCGGTAAACTTCCAGTGTATCGATGAGTTACAGTGGAATATCGGTGAAACTTGATAATCTTTTGATTGTTCAAAATCCGATGAAAATGGGACAAAAGTGTTTAAATTTCGGTTTACCAACTATGTCCGATGTCAGTGAAATATAACTTTTTGCTGGCACTCGGAGTTTGTCCGGATATAATCGAATCAATTTTGCATGAAAAAAAATGTTTGAATAAAGAATAAACAAAAGACAATACATGTCATACGAAACAAAAAAAGAAAGAAAACAAATCATAGAAAAAAAAGCGAGAATAAGACAAAATAAAAAAACTTCATCAAGACTAACTAAATGATGATCGGAGTAATGAATTTGAAGGTAAACAAAATAATTCTGATTTTGAAATACCATCTTTGTTTTTATTTCGACCGATATTCTTGAGTTTTTTTACTAGTAAATGTTATCACGTATATCGGAGTTAATATTGTCACACAAGTTGTGACAATCAATATATAATTTATACGAGTCTCTGTAATCAATACCAAAGAGACACTCGTATCGTCAATTGGAGGGAGTGCACTGACGAAAGTTCTATTGGCGAATTTCAATTAAACCATATAATTGACATCGAACAAAAAAAAAACAATGACAACATATTACTGTGGGTGTCACCAGGATTGAAGGAAGACCGGTGACTCAGAAGGTTCATTGGAAGTTTTTAGTTAAAGCTAAACGGATTTGGAGAGAGAAGAGTTGAACGTAGAGTCTGTCGGATCAAAAGCTTTTGGACTGGGCCTTCCATCTACCTCGAAGACATGACAAAAATTTTTCGACCCCAATCCGACGAGCTCTAGTTGAATATTTTTTCGAGAATTGCTGAGAATTCCATTGGAGAAAAATGAAAATTTTTCAAGATTGACGAGAGATCATCTCGACGACTTTTCCCACACTCGGAACACATACACCTTCAGATTATTATAAAATAAGTTTACAACTTGAATTTCGAAATCGCAGAATAATTTCTACAAAGAAAGTATTGATTTATTGTTTTGTTCATGTTATAATGATAAACAAAACAGGAAAAAAATATATAAGGAACATAAGCAGCAATTATTGTGTTCATATACACAACAAAAACACACAAAAAAAAAAAGATCAGCGAGACTGTTCGCATAAAAACAAAAAAAAGAAAAACCAGACAATAGCTTGAATAAAGATGTTTTTTTATTCTTTTAAATGGTTGCGAAGTAAACGAAGGAATTCATCACGCTTTTCAGGTGTTAATTCTAAGACTTGTTGTAAAATTTTATGTGGTGATGCAATACGTGCAAACGTTGCTATATAAACATTAGTAAATAATGCCATAATTATTTGACAATCAAATCGATCCTATTGAAGAAAACAAAAAAAAACAAACCAAATTTTCAATTTTGTAAGAAATTGAATTTTACCATAAATCCTCCATGTCCTGGTATAGTTGCAGCAAAATCTTTAATACGAAAAGCTCGTTTAAATCCACTTGCAAAAAATCCACCAAATGGTCCTATACTTGATGCAAATAATGATAATGTTAATGAATGTAATTGAAATGGATATAATTCAAATGTACGTTTAAAAAATGTAAATGGCTTTGGCATTAAATATGTTGTCTTTTGAAATAATGATAATGGTTTACATGATATTGCTAAACCCATAATTTCTTCATTATATTCTAATGGACATACAAATGATTGATAATTACATAATACTCCAGCAAATATAAAACCAAATATTAATGTTGATATACCACCACCAATAAAACCTTCCCAAGTTTTTTTTGGAGATAATTTTGTTAAACGTGTTCGACCAAAAAAAAATCCAAACATATATGCCATTATATCATTACAAATAATTAATGATACAGGAAAAAGAAACCAGATCATACCTAAATAATTTTTAATTTAAATAAATATAATTCAAAATTTGTTCATATAAATATTATGATTTTTCATTAGTTAAAAATAAGAAATATAAACTATTTTCCAATGACCGAACAAATCATCGCAACATTGCATTATGTTAGATATTTCTATATTTGAAGTCGACTTCATAAAGTATGATGCAAATGTGTGGGCGCAGAATGCCGGCACGGGATTCAAGGTGTAGATAGTTATAACCAGTTCAACTCATAGGAGATTCCT